TGTTCTCGGCGGTGGCTTGCCGGGCGAGCGATCTGCTCTCCTTTCGCAAGGGAATCGGAAGCGCTCGACGCGGTAGATCTTCAAGCGATAGCGGCCTCGCGGCGGTTGCGGAACCATTCGCGCTGCTGCGCACATCGCCGCTTGTTCCTTTCCTGCTCTTCTTCTTCCGTAGAAATGCTGCCGCGATCTATGAGCGGCGGCGGAAAGCAGACAACCGGCAAACACAGCACTCTAGACAGCTACCGCCATCTATGAGCGAAGGCGGCAACCAGAGTGTGGGGTCGGCCACTGGTGTCGACATTTGTTTGGTGCCAGAAACGATCCTGGAAAAACGGGCCCTTAACAGCTCCGCTCTAAAAAAAAAAAAAAAAAAAAAAAAAAATGTTTGGTGCGTGCTGACGAAAGCGCGGGCATGCAGCAGTCGAGAGCAGAGTTGTATCTGTAAAGTTGCCAGAACGAAATGCGAACGAAATACCGCCCATTCCGAATAAATTCCCGGCCAATTAAGGCGGGGACCGTTTGTGCAGAGCGAACAACGCTTCCTCATTATTCGCCGAATGTCTACCTTATCCAGGCGGGTAAAGGATCAAATTACTTGTAATCGATTATTTTTTAAGAAAGTTTGTTATCATTTGATTACATCTATTAGGAAGTAATCGCAAGAGTAGTCTTGTTACCTTTTGGGAGTATTTATATTACTTATAACCGTTACTAATTTCTTCTTTCTTTTTTAACGGTGCCCTTGTTCCTACAAATTTCCCTCCAAGCAGTCCTCGAACCAAGTCTCCCACGGTAGGCTGGTTTAGCGAAATTGTTGGATTAAGAAGGTAAGTTGTTGATAATTTGGTGATCTTTATCCAATAATTGAGAGTAGGAAAGACGCACCTTCATACCGACAGAAAAATCTGTCGTTCTGAAAATTTCAAGTAATCAGAAAGGTAAGGGTTACTTTCTCAAGTAATGGCTAATTCTTCTTCTTTTGAATAAATAAAGTGATCTATTTGAATACTTTTTGAGCGAAAGTAATTGTAACGGTCATCATTTATTTTTTGCCAGTAACGTGTACAATAGTAACCTTAAAGGGGCCATTAAACGAATTTTTGACTCGGATAAATGATTTAAATTGGGACTTTACTAATCGCATATCGTTTAGTTGGCCAAAAGGAAGAGGGTAGAAAGTCAAAAGCCAGCTTTTCGGTACAAACATTTGAAAATATAGCGGACCATTTTGCACCTTCTTTCCTTCGAAAGCTCTCCGCCTTTTCACTATGATACATCCGCGGTTCCAAAAGCGCGTCACCGGCGCCAAACTGACGTCAGCAGAGCCCAGCTCACGCATTAAGCCTAGTTCACATGCAGCGGTTTTGGCCCTAGAGCGGCGCGATTTCTGCCGTCGCGGCGCTCTGGCCAGCACCAGCAATTCTGCGGCACGAGCGCCGCGACGGCAGAAATCGCGCCGCTTTAGGGCCAAAATCGCTGCATGTGAAACACGCTTAAAGCCTAGTTCACATGCAGCGGTTTTGTCCCTAGAGCGGCGCGATTTCTGCCGTCGCGGCGCTCTGGCCAGCACCAGCAATTCTGCGGCACGAGCGCCGCGACGGCAGAAATCGCGCCGCTTTAGGGCCAAAATCGCTGCATGTGAAACCCGCTTTAGACACGAGAATCGCATCGCTCGGACGTATGCGCTTGTCAACAATCAATCCGTCGGCCAATATTTGGATTCGCGTTCGTGGCCAATGAGTGCCCTGATGGAGCTTATCATCACTGGGGAATGACAAGTTTTATGGTGTGCATAAAAAGCATGATGGAAGCTAGGACTCATTGCACCGGTGCCAAAGAATGTCACGGTGACGTGATTTCACAATTCGCATTTGAGTTGAGGATTAAAGCTAAGGAAGAAGAAGTAGGAAAATCGTTTCATGACACCTTTAAGGCCTGTTCACACATGAAGCGGAGCGCTACAAGCAGAGCGCTGACCTCGTGCTAAGCACGTGCTGACGAAAGCGTTCACCAGCTTTGTACCGCACTGTCGAAACTGTTGTTCATGGCAGACAATGAGTAGCTGACGACACGTGAGTAGCGCTATATCAGCGCTTCGCTGCATGTGAGAACCGGCCTTAACCGCTGATTCACGTTGGAAGCGGATCCGCGTTCGCAAAGCGGTTGTGAACGCGGTTGTATAAAGATCCAGTATAATTGCACTCGCACTTGATGTCATTGAGTGCGCGTGCAATTGCACTGAATCTTTATACACCTTTGCAAGTGGGATCCCGGCTTAACCTCGAACCGCGCGCCAAGGTGAGGCGGACCTACTCTCCAGCCAGGACGCTTGCTGGTTGTCGTACAATGTTGCCAAGCGTCTCTCGCCGAAGCGTACAGCACTGAGCGCAGAAAGAAATTTAAAAAAATAATTATAAAACGTACATGTGTCGTCTTCGACCACGAAAGAGCACGGACAATTAAATAGAATGCCTAAACCGGTAACAAATCAAAAAATTTCAAAAATATCTAAAGTCGCAAGGCGCTCTTCAGAATGCGCCACAAGTCGCATGGCCTCTGCATCAACGATGGCTGCGCTCGCGGCAGCTCTGGCTTCCACAACACGCAGGAACAGAGGCTGCGATCGTTATAAAGTCAGCTCCAACCCTTAAAGATGTCCCGTCCTACATTATGTGATGCTACGATACTGTGTGGATACCTCCTCCTGCGTTCCGAGACAGTAAGTGTGCCGCTAAGGTTAGCCATCGTTGATGCAGCAAACGGCACCATCTTGTCATCGTTCACCCCAATGACGCGCCCCTGGCACACCTTAGCATGGCGGAAACGGTACGGGGCGCCAGCATTGCTCAAAATGGCAGCGCACATGAGCCTTTCTTGCAAACGTGTATACAACCGCGTTCGCAAAGCGGTTGCGAACGCGGTTTTATAAAGATCCAGTGCAATTGCACGCGCACTCGATGACATCAGGTGCGCGTGCAAATGTACTGGATCTTTATACAACCGCGTTCGCAACCGCTTTGCGAACGCGGATCCGCTTCCTGTGTGAATGAGCGGTAAGTGTGCCTCCGCGCGAAGTCGGGACGTTGTCACTATGTGATGGGGACCAAATGAAGGGATTTCTCCCCCCCTGTGAATATATGTCAGCCATTCGGTCGCTAATGACACTAACAAGAAATGTACGCTGTGTGTTCCAAGAAAAAACGAAGTATTTTGTGGACTATACGCGTGACCGAACGTTCAAATGGAACACCATTTTCACGCAGCAGCGTTCGATTACGTTTGACTGTGTTCTGGGGGCATATATCGAGTGGCAACTACGAGTTAAGGGCTGTCCAAACAGGACGCATTTTCTGCAGTCCCAGCATCTGCTGTACAGGAAGTGAAAGCTTTCCTCAAAATCCGGTGCGCTTTTGTACATTTCTTTTTTCTTTTTCTTTTTTTTTTTTTTTGCGGGAAACGTTTGTTTGTTTGCGCTCCTCGACATATCCGGAGCGCAAGTTCGTCTGCTTCTTTTGCAGGCGTTGTGGTAGCGTCAGAAGGACGCCGGGCTCTGATTGGCTCTGAATGAAGAATAGTTGGTGGACCTCAAGGCAGCTTGCTCTGCGGTCTGCCCACTACCCTTCAATGAGAGCCAATCAGAGTTGGGTGTCGTTCCAGCATCACCACAGCTCCTTCATAAGAAGCAGACGACTTGCTCTCCACATAGGTTTAGAACGTGGTCGTCACGTGAGCCCGGAGAGCCACCCAAACGCTCTGCTGGCTGTCATCGAGGCCTCCGCTGTTGTTCTTGTTCTCTGTCCCCAACCTCCTGAAAACGAGAAAGGAGAGGAGACGACAGCGAGGAGGCGAGGAGGACAGCCGTGCTGTGTGCGTGCTTGATGTCCAAACTACAAGGGGACGCGCCCGCCGCCATTTCCACATTTTTTTTTCTTCTTTTTTTTTATTTTTAAGTGCGTTTTTTTTTTTTTTGTGATGGCGTTTGTTTTATTTTGTTTGGACAGTCCTTTACCGTAGTTTACACACCAACAGGCGGCACCGACGTCGCGCTGGTGCGGTGGTGATGCTACTGGCAGGGCGGATGAGCAGAGGCTTGTTTGGAAACAGCGCCCATACGTGGCATTCAATTCCAAGAGCGGCTTTGAAGGCGACATAGTAACCGCGGATGTACCGATGCATTGAGTCTAAAGGATTTGAGAAGTGCAAATGATTTTTTTTTTTTCTTTCTTCAGCAATACGCGACATTCATATTTTTCGAGCGTGCAAGTTTAACCGCTAAATTTAGTATTGGAGCCTCATTTATTCACAAAACGACGCAAGGTGCTAATTCTTTCTACGTCAATTTTTTTTTCTTTTTGTTTGGGTTTTTTTTAAAGCTATATAACATTAAGAGCTTGCTCGGTAAATTCGGGGGGGGGGGGGGGGGGGGGGAGGGGGGGGAGTGTTTTCCCTAAATTTATTGGATAAGCGTTCCCGCTGAATTCAGACGACGAATTACGTCACGAGAGACCGTAACAGCTTTGCACGTATTTTATATTCACAGCTATTTGTAGGAAGCCTATACATTCTGTCCTAACTCGTTTAGTATAATTATTTCGGTAAAAACGCATCTTTTATCCTATTCCATCATATGAAAAGTGGTCCTTACGCTTCTATATTCCTGAAGGGATGAAAGGAATTAAGCGATGTACGACGAAAACAATATTCAGATGGAATGGCAAGTTACCCTAACGTTATGGTGGCACATCATTAATGAACTATACAAGCGAAACATAATTAACTCAAAGAAATTACATAGACATTCATTGAGATAATTCGAAGGTTAGAAAATGCCCAAACTGGCGCAAGCACCGAGACGTGGTGAAATTAACACAAGGTACCCCACCCTGTGTTCATTTCCTCTTGTCTCGGTGCTTGTCTGTATTTTCTGCGCTAATAAGCCTTCGAGTGTCAACCTACAAGCCCAAATTACCACTTTGCTCATTGAGATAATGTATACTCACATGGAAACGTCTGGATCGTAGTGTAAAACCAGAGGGTAAACGCCGTCTTGACCGGGATCAGTCTCGCTTATTCTAACGCATTTGGCTGTGCCACCAAAAAAGGGATCCGTCTCGTAGTTTCTGTACGCCATGTACCACGTCTCTTGGAGAGGGAAAGCCTGCAATTCAGAGGCGGGCACGGGACAACGAGTTATGTTCCCCATCGAGTCTGTCTTGGCACTTGAGCATACTCAATTCTCGCAGGGGCGAAGGTGCAATGCGAAAGGTAAAAGTAGACAGTATTTGCGACGACACAAAATAAATAACATATTTCGCACCGGAAACTACGAGCAAAAAGAGGTGTCCGCTTGTTCGTCTTAGTCTCGGGTATTCAAGATGTTGGAGTTCACAGCTTGTCTGCATGTTCTCGGCTCTTACAGACAAAATATTTATGTTATTTTTTTTTTTTTATCTCCAGCTCTTTCGACTTACCGCAGCTTCATTCTGATACTCTTGAAGCGCTGGATTTCGTTCCAGATATTGCGTGCTTGCAGAGGTGCAGTGAAGAACCAGCTGCGCCGTTATGATCAACGCAAAACTCATTTTTTGAGCGGTTGTTACTCTGCGTTCAGGTCGCCACTGTTTCAGCGGCAGCTGCGCTCGCTCTTATATAGGGACTACAAAGCGCCAATGAGCACATGGACGACATCCGGTCGACACGTGTTGTCAGTATACAACTAAAATAAGAATGCATAAACATTCCAGTTAAAAAATGGGTTGAAATAGGCCTACAATAAACACAATTTTACTTTGCTTCTTTTTATAACTAACATTCTGGGAGAACGAAGGCTCTAAAACATCCGGCAAGTAACAATGGTGAGGCTTATATGTATATATAGTTAAAAGTGGCCATCGAAAAGCTGCAGGCTTGCGTCCGTACACGTTCATATCCTGCGGATACTTCATAACGCGTGGGGCGACACAATTGTACGCCATATGAACTGAAAAGTTCAAGTCCGGCAGTCCGTCACTGCATTCCACCGCAACCTCCTCTTCTTTTCTTTGACGTCGGCGCTCGTTATGCGACGTTAACACCACTTGCCAGTGGTGAGCCTGTATTACCGGTCCATCTGTTCTGCCACAGATCACGATTACCTTCATTTTGTTTCCAAACTACATCGGCTACAACGACAACTCGCGACCTCGCTACCGCCGTCGCCAAGGCAAAAAGGCCTCGTATTCTTCTTTTTTCCGTTTTCGGGACTTCAACAGTAGACGAGGCCTGGAACCAGTGGTTGGCAGCCAACACAGCTTGGGAGTGGCTGTTGGGACCCACGTGATGAGCATGCTTTAGGCCTCCGTGAAGAACACAAGCGGACCTTGACGAAGGGAAACTCCACCCCCCCCCCCCCCCCCCCCCCCCAAGCATAGAAAAAAAACGGACGGGAGTGGTTTGCCATCATTTAATATGGCCGAGAAGTGTCGCTCTAACGGACATGCAAACTTGCGCCGTGGTTCCTGAGCGTTTTACGACTCCGTCAAAAAATCTGGGCTCCCTCTCCGTTCTTCAGCTTGAACACAGCAGCGAGCGGTGGCGAGCCCTGTTGAGTCGGAGAGCTGGAAGCGATGTGACTGGCCCACCCTCTGTCCACGTGTTCAGTGCGTTTCGCTGCATCCGCGAGCCGGGCCGGTCGCACCGCAGCGACCGCCCGGCGCCCGTCTCTACGCAAGCCTTGCCGAACGAAACCTTGAGCCCATTTCACCCAGCTCGTGGCTATCGTGACCGTGATTCGTAGAATCCAATGGATTCGCCATGGGACACCGTCGCGGGGTGGGCGCCGTGGCTTGCCGTGATGTGTCTGGGGCGAGGATTGAAGTCGCCCCGGCTTTCTTCACGGAGCGGGGAAACGTTCACGGACCACAGCGCTAGTTTGCATACCCATCTTGAAGGGTCCTGTTTGGACAGGTATTTACGGGCACCTAAAAGGCCACCAGAACAAACTCTTTTAAAAAATCGGCGAGCCACTGTACGCTGATGAGCACGCGCACGGTCGAGACCGCGAGCTGATCAGACAATTCCTTGTAGGAGATTTTTAGCGAGGCCTTTAGTGGCCCGTGAAAGAGAAGCACAACCGCACTCCGTAAAGCGGGCAAACAACTGACAAACCTCACCCTGCGGCACGTGTGCTTTGTACGAAGCACAACAGGCATTCGCCGTTCTGACCATACATGTGTCGACTCGTAATTCAATTATAGCGAATTAATTATTGTAGTTTAACTAGTTATTTTAGTCTAGTTATTGTTCTCGGCTGAAATTATTGTTCTATTTACCTTCACTAAGTTCACTATTTTAATGACAATGACAACTACTTGTTAGCACTCTGAAGTTTCAGTCTATACGGTGTACTTGCACGACAGATACTTTTCTCCGGAGAAAACCGAGTACGGCCATGTACGTCACAGAGCTGCGAGAAGGAAATGCTGCGAGGAGGAAGAGGTGGCTCAGAAACTCCGAGCGAGCATTCACAAGACGGTGTCGCGTTTGGTAAAGTCAGAGGAGCTTTTCTTTTCGCGAATGTGTTTGCAACCTTGCAGTACTTATCAAACAAAAGCAAGAAGTATAAAACAATACAAAAAAGCCATTCTGCAATTTAGTGCTGCTGCCCCTTAATCTTTTCCCAAAAGGAAGGGGTCCGGGTATGCTATGGGGGGGGGGGGGGGGGGGGGGGGGGGGCCGGTCGCAGATTTTGCGTGGCTAGCTGCAGACTCGGGGGATGGGCAAACATCCACGAAGCGGCACACGTAATCTCAAAACACGATGGTATTTAGACCTCTCCTCGGAAAAAAAAAAAACTATGTCGTGTGAGTACGAAACTGAGAGACAAATACTGAGAGTCTGCCTCATTGCCCTTCGACTAAATCCTGTAACTTTGCATGTGCCGAGACCGCGCTCTAAAATAATTATAAACGGTTCTAAACGCTTATAATTTTAAAATTCTTTCTCAGCGCACAGCTTAACAACTCTCAAAAGTAAACTCCTATCACAGGACCAGATAAAGGTGGCAAGGCACTATGGCAGAACAGCACACAACAAAACAGCACGCGACAAATCAGCACGCGTCAAAACAGCACGCGTCAAAACAGCACGGCGTTAAAACAGCACGGCGACAAAACAGCACGCGTCAAAATAGCACTCGACAAAACAGCACAACGTCAAAACAGCACAGCGACAGAAGAGCACGCGTCAAAACAGCACAGCGTGAAAAGAGCACAGCGACAAAACAGCTCAGCGTCAAAAGGGCACAGCGACAGAAGAGAACGGCGGCAAAACAGCATTGCGACAAAACAGCAGGACATTGACAATATAGCTAGCGTTTGGCGTTTTCGGTTCTTATTATTTTGAAATTCGGCGTACTTTTTTCGGGTTTTTTTTCCTAACAGAAGTAGTCGGTTTGTTGCAGTGAATATTTGTAGACTCATAAGCTTCTCGGTTCTTTTCGGTTTATTGTCGAAAACCTGTATCCTGGCGAAAATGCAATATTTAAAGGCGTTTGTTTAAATGTATAATGAATAAACCAGGTACTGTTTTTTTTTTTTATTATTATTATTTGTTGCTGTCTGTGGCAACCGACGCGACCTGTTCCGCAAGACGCTCCGGGGCCCAATCGTGATCTGATATTATCGTCGTCTGCTCGTATCCGTTCTCTTGGGAGCAAGTTGGGAGTGGGGAGTATACTCGATGCGCACATGAAGGATCCCTGGCCAGTACCGAAGCCCCCGCTGGTGCGTATTCTGGCTATTTCTCGAGCAGTTCTGTGAATTTTGACGAGCAAGTTTGCTGGTGATGTCGTCTACAATAAATGAATGAATCGCACTGCAATGTGTTGTCATTAGTTGTTAAAAGAAAAAAAAAGTGTGTGCGGCACTGTGTGCTAAGCCCATGCTCTACGGAAACAGCATTGAGGCTGTGGCATATGTTTCTGCTTCACCGGTTTTCACTCGATCTAGGCCTTTGTCGGCAATAATGAGGGAATTTAACTCAAAACAACTTCTCGACCGATCCAGTGGGGGTAAGGGGGGAGTGGGCAGGGGGGGGGGGGGGGGAGCAAAAGCTACCATCAGTATTTTCTTATTATTTTTTTTCTTTTGGTTATGGATTTTAGTTTAGCTAGCTTCAGCCACGGCCAGACTGAAAAGCGCGCGCTCTCAGAGAGCGCGCGCTTCCAGTCCGGCCGTGCTTTAGCATACATTCTGTTACGTGGATTGCAATTAGTACTTATCATTGAAACTCACTCTTGTAGCCTCGTAAAAATCGCAAGCGAACGTCATGACGCAATATATTTTTTTTTTTTTTTTTTTGGGGGGGGGGGGGGGGGGGGGAGGTGGGGTAGTCGAGTTGCGAAGTTTAGTAAGCACTGACATAGGCAATCAATTCCTTTATAACCAAGCGACAAAAAGTGAAAGGGTCAAGGAGGTTTTAAATTATTCCCGCACAGAGAGGTGAAGAGCGCGCTCGAAGTTGCTACATATACGTGCTGTTTTGTCGCTGTGCTGTTTTGCCGCCGTGCTGTTTTGGCACGCGCTCTTTTGTCGCTGTGCCGTTTTGACGCTGTGCTTTTTTGGCGCGTGCTATTTTTACCGTGCTGTTTTGTCGCGTGCTGTTCTGTCGCGTTCCCAGAGGGCCCCACATAAAACGGGAGTGTCTTTCATTGTCAGGATGTGGAGGATGGCGAGATCGAATAAAAATGACCGGATTATTATATGTTCATTGGCACAATATATAAGCAATTCTAAAGTTATATATTCAACAGTCTAGAACCGATGGGTCTTAACATTTCTAATCAAAATTGCCATCCTTTCTCATTGATGTTTAATTGAGTTCTTCCGACCGGTGCGCCACAAACACCGGATGTTGTTTTTTTCTTATTTTTTATTTTTGCTTGATGTTTTAATATTGTCTCTAATTACAAATAATGAGGCGACGAAAACCGAAGAAAAATAAACGTTTAATGGGGCAAACGTGTGCCAAAAACAAATGAGAAAAGAAAAAGTCTAGCTTCGCAAGCGTCCATGACGGCGGAACAGCAGGGTCGAACACTGGGCGAGACTGAGCCGGCTCCCCATGCGGAGTCCCTTATATACCCGCGTGAGTTTCTGGAATATTCGGCGTAGAACGTTCGTACATCAATCAGACGACAAGGTTCTCGAATTTCCGAGAACGCTAAATTGAAAGAATAAATAAAAGACGCGCCGCGTGGGCCGCACGAAAGCCAAGCCTATGGCCAAGCACGGTAACCACTCGGCCACGCACGCGCCCGCTCGGCGACGCGCGTGGCAATACGACCAGAAACTGTTTTTTTTTTTTTTTTTTTTTTTGTACTTTCAGGGCCCGAAGGCATTACAGAGAATAGTGGAATTATACACCAATATAAAGTGAACAATGAAAACAAAACGCAAAAAAACAAAACACAAGGTACAGAATCGCTATGGAACATTATTAAGAACATTAGTTATAGCGGTTTTAAAATCAGCAGCGTGAATAAGACTACGGATGCGGGAAGGCGATTCCAGTCGACGGAGGTCAGGGTTAGGAAGGAGGCATA